TTTTTTTTTTTTTTTTTTTGGTTTTTTGAGACAGGGTTTCTCTGTGTAGCCCCTGCTGTCCTGGAACTCACTCTGTAGACCAGGCTGGCCTCAAACTCAGAAATCCGCCTGCCTCTCCCTCTGCCTCCCAAGTGCTGGGATTAAAGGCGTGCACCACCACCGCCCGGCTACAACCACAGAATCTTAAACCAGAATAGCAAACGGTCCTGATAGAGTCTTTAATCTTCCCTCTGGAGTGTCACAAGCTAGGCCTCCATCTTCTGCACTACCCTCAACATTGTTATCTCCCAAGCTCTCACAGAACATCCACAGAACCATAAACACCCAATGGCTCTTCTAGTCCAAAGTTCCAAAGTCCTTCCACAGTCTTTCCAAAAACATGGTCAGGGCTGTCACAGCAATCCTGCATGGTACTGGCACCGATTTGTCTTAGAGTTTTTATTACTTTGACAAAACACTATGACCAAAAAGCAAGTCGGGAAGAGAAGGTTTTATCCAGCTTACACTTCCACGTTGGTGTTCATCACTGAAGGAAGTCAGGAAAGGAACTCAAATGGGGTAGGAACCTGGAAGCAGGAGCTGATGCAGAGGCTGTGGAGGGGTGCTGCTTACTGGCTTGCTCCCCATGGCTTGCTCAGCCTGCTTTCTTATAGAACCCAGAACTACCAGCCCAGAGATGGCACCACCCACAGTGGACACCACCCACAATGGGCTGGGGCCTCCCTCATCGATAATTGAGAAACACTTTGTAACTGGATCTCATGGAGGCATTTCCTCAACTGAGGCTCTTTCCTCTCTGATGACTCTAGCTTGTGTCACCCTGACACATGAAGCCAGCCAGGACAGTCACTAAAGTAGAAGCTCATTGAAATAGAAATGACTATCTTGGGGTGTGTTTGCTGGAGTTGATCTGCTCAGAACATCCTGGGTTACTGAGCTACAGCCATGGCTCACGAGTCCTTTGGGCCGCTCCATGAGCTGTTTTCCCTGTGAGGGGAAAGCAGAGGAGTTGACTCGCCCTGGCTGACAGGCCCAGCTCCTGTCCTTTGTGAGTTGCTGAGGAAAGTGGAACAGGGCTGTTTCACTGTAGACTCATTCTTCACTGTGACAAGATCATGGCACAATTTCTCTTCTTACCTATTCCCATTTTCTTAGAAATAGCTTTCTAGGATGTTTTTGTTCTATTAAAAAATGAACTAATTTATTTGCACAGACTGTTTAATGTTTAAAGAGTCCACATTTCCCATTTTCATTCCTTGAATTTCACGAGTGCTCACACTTGCTTTTTAGGTGTTAACAAATGGTATGTGTCCAGAGGGTACTAAGTAGTATGTTTATTTATTTATGTATTTATTTATTTACTTATTTATTTTATTTTTCAAGACAGGGTTTCTCTATGTAGCCTTGGCTGTCCTAGAACTCACTATGTAGACCAGGCTGGATCTCACGGAGATCTATATCTACCTGCCTCTGCCTCCAAAGTGCTGGGATTAAAGGCATGGGTCACTATGCCAGGCTGTAGTTTTCAAAAAACACGTTGTGAAATGATTAAATTAGGCTAAACCACATGTCACCATAACCATCCCCAGATGTCCTCCATTTCTTTTTTTCCCTTTAAGAAGGAAACCTTGAACTTGACACTCCAGATACACTGACTTCTTAGATTTCCTCCCTTGGTTGGTTCTAAGTCCCAGTGAACACTGGTTTAGAGAACACCAAACCTTTGTCCCTAGAGCAAGGACAGGACTAGGTCTCTGAGAGCTACTCGTCACAATGTGGTCCCATTGATCAGGGATGCTTTGTGTCTCACCTCATTCAACTGGACCACACTGTGCATGTGCCACACTGGACCCACGTTACAACCTTCCTGCAGCTGAACACTAGACAGAACTTGAACTCCACCCTCGGAGGCCACGTACCAGACAGACTAGGCCCTTGTTTGAACCAGCTCCATCAGGCAACTTAGAACTCTCTGCATATATCCTTAGAGGATCAGGAAATTGCCCCAAATATTGATTCTGGGGTCACAAATACACTTCAGCCAGTGCCAGGGGAGGGGATGTGAGGGTGGATTGGAGTGACGAGGGCCTGTAGTGGCTGAGGAGCCCGACTGCCCTAGCCTCCCTCAGCATTCCTGTGACAGGTCACCGTCCCCCCTTTTATGACTGCCAGTTTAGGCACTCAGCTTCTGGTGTCCTGAGTCATTTTTCTGCTCCACATAGATAGCTCTGGGAACATCGTGTCCTATATTCTCTCCTCTGAAGTTCCCTATTGGGTCCAGAGAGGTCGGGTAGCTCGTTGGTGACTCAGACTTTCTCCATGACCTAAAGCCCTGCTGTTCACTCAGCCAGCACTTGTAAACTGCTCCTGGAACACTGAAGACCTTTCAGGGACCCAGGAAAAGTACAATGTCAAAGAAGCATGGGAACCCCCCGGACTGAATTAGGGTAAACATCTTTTTAGTTCTCCCCTGTGGGATTTTTTTTTTAAATTAGAGCTCTATAAAATGTTTATTGTGGGATAGAGGCTAGCTCAGTTGATAATGTGCTTGCCTTGAAGACACAAAGACACAACTTCAATCTCCCAGCACCCAAGCTAAAAAAAATTAAGGTTTTTTGCTGTGAAATTTACACTGGGGCTATGGATACGTTAGAGTCCTAGAGCTCTCTGGCCAGCCAGCCTACTTGGTGAGTTGTGAGTCAGTGAGGGACCCTATCCTGAAAGCCATGGCGAATGGTTTCTGAGGAATGACACCTGAGCTGGGCCTCTGGGCCTCTGCACATGCATGCAGGAGTACACATACATGTGCACCCACATGGACTCACAGTTCACATGACATGCTTTAAAGAGGGGATAGTTATATAGTGATTTCTATACTTTTTTTTTCAATAAATAATTTTTAAAATAATTGGAAATTGTGTTTTTGGGGAAGGGGCTGGAAAGATGGCTGCTCTTCCAGAAGTTAAGTTCATGTCCCAGCACCCACATGGTGGCTCACAATCTTCTATAACTCCTGTGCTAGGGACTCTGAGCCCTTTTCTGACCTCCAAGGATACTGCATACACACAGTGAGTAGTCATATATTAAGGCAAAATAGTCATATGGATAAACCACATAAAATAACAGTAAATCTTTTAAAGATTTATTTATTTCATGTATGTAAGTTTGAGGTTTCCATGGTCTCCACCATGGTCTAGATGTATTAACTAAAATAACTAGAAAGGATATAATTCAAAAATAATTGCCAAGTTATGTCTAAAATAGTCACTATGTTCTGCCAGGAATGACCTTTTTAAGGTTGTTCTGACTGTCATCTTAGATGTACAGTCTTTGTGCTTTTTGCCTTTAAAAATTCTGTATCCTGTGCTTTGGTCGGAGAGATGTTTTTGAGGCACAGGCCCACTCGGGCCATACATAGAAAGGACTTCAGACTTTTAATTGGCTTAACATCATTGTCAATAACCAGCCAAGTAGGTCATTACAATGGTGAAGAGGGTTGTAAAACTGCTTTCCTCCTGTTTCTTCTGGGCGTGGTGCACATGCCCTGTGAGGTTGAAGCCAGCTTGATCTGTACATCCAGTCTGTTCCATATAGCTATTCCATGCCAGCCAGAGCTACATGGTAAGGCTCTGTCTCAAAACTAAGTAACGACAACAGAGACGCTTATTTGTAGCTGTTTGAATTCTCAGTAGATGAATGTGTTCAGGTTAGCCCTTCACCCAGAGAATAAGCTTGGTAGCCCATCCTGCCCCCCACTTCTAGAAAGTGTTTGCTCTGAGCCTGGGCTCCGTGCTCCCCACTGACATTCCTGTCACCCTTGGCCCATTTGCCGCCCTTCGGGGCTCAGCCACAGCAGCCTTCTGCCTCAGGACAGCAGACCAGGCTCACCCCTGTTTGTGATGGCTGTACTTGGAACTAACCCCTCTCCCTGAAATGGAGGGACCACAGTGGTCACTACTTTCATCACTACTTTCTTGCAGTACCGGGAATGGAACTCAAGGCCCTAGGCACCCTAGGCAAGCACTCAATACTGAGTCCTAGGCCCAGCCCTGTCCTTTTAACCCTTAATGTCCTCAACCCCACCACCAAGATGGTGGATACAGTATCTAGTTAGAGAGGCTCCCTACTTCTCACTAAGGGCACAGAGGCCAACAGAGGATGAGGTGGCTATGCCAACAAGCTTGAGTCTCCTCCCACTATCAGGACAAGGCTGTGGGCAGGGCTCCTCACAGTGGACCACAGGGGCCTCTGTGTGGCAATGTGTGTGGGAGAGGAGGGAGCTGGACACCCTTTCCTAAATGTTAAACCATGCCACAGGGTTTAAAAGGTGCCTTTGGGAGGCTGAGCAAGGGTGGCCATCAGCTCAGGTGTGTTCCTGGGCGACATGGTTGGTGGCCCACCCCTATACTGGGCCAAATGGTGTGACTCATTTGTGAACTGTGGTGTCCTCGGGCTTTGAAGAACTAACACGTGAGACAGTAGGAACTTGTTTCTTGCTGAAGTCTCCTGAGACTCATCAGCTTTGCTAAATGTAACTTGAGAAAATACAAGTTTACATACAGATATTTTTATTTATTTATTTATTTATTTATTTATTTATTTATTTAGAGAGACAGGATCTCTCTATATGGCCCTGGCTGTCCTGGAACTCACTATGTAGACCAGGCTGGGCTCAAACTCACAGAAACCTGCTGGCTTCTGCTTTTCAAGTGTTGGGATAAAGGCTTGTGTCACCCTGCCTGGCTAAGACTTTGCAAAGTTAATACTTGATAGAAAACAGGCCAAAGCAAAGAAGGCAAAATGGTAAAGAGACAGATAAAGAAGGAACACATATACTTTTTTCTTTTTTTTTTTGTTTTTTTGAGACAGGGTTTCTCTCTATAGCCCTGGCTGTCCTGGAACTCACTCATGTAGACCAAGCTGGCCTGGAACTCAGAGATCCACCTGCCTCTGCCTCCCAAGTGCCGGGAATAAAGGTGAGTGCCACCATCAGGCAGATAGACTTTAAAAAAAAGTTTAATATACAATCTTTTATTTCTAGATTTTAAAAAACGACTTAAATTATCAGGACAGTATTTACAAGATTAATCACCTCTATGTGCGTGAGGTGCTGGGGTGGGGCTTGGATATTCTAGGCAAACGCTGAGTTCAGGGTAGTCACATTTAAGCCATCACAATGGACATGAAGAGGACACAAAGGGCCCTTCTTTGTGACAGGCTGTGATGCGTGGGACAACTCATTTTCTAGAGTGAAGGCAAGGACCCAGTCTTCTGACAGCTGGGGCAGCTAATACCGAAGAAAGCATCACAGGTTTGCAGCCATGTTGCCAGTAATGAGTAATTGTCCTTTTAGTGTTTAAGAGAAACCTTTTTTTTTTTTCCTGAGATATCTTTCTATGGAATCCTTTTAGATACTTGTAGGATCCAGAAAACTCAAAGAATAAACAATACGCCATCTCCCCCAGCTCCGAGGCAGATGTCCCTGGGGCACTGGGGGTCTCTCGAAGCTGCCCTGAACACTGTCATCCTGGGCAAGCAGAGACCATGGCCTAGTTCATGGTGTTTGAAACACATCATCTCAATCCTTTTCTGGAGAAGAAATGATTGACACGGAGTCCCAGGAATCATCCTTCGGTGAACTGTCCTTGTCCAAGGCCTCCAAGATGAATTGATCTGGGTCCTTTAAATACTAGAAGAGGGTAGAAGGCCGGCCGGTTACAAATAGTCATATACAAGGTCTCTACTTGTACTTGGTGAAGTCGTATTAATCAGGTACAACTTTACTTTGTGGGTCAAGGACGATGACCACCACCAATCATTATTGTTACTGTTGTATTCTGGGGGTCAAGCCGAGGCCTGGCACATGGCAGGGGCACACTCTGCTGCTAACACATGCTCAGCCCTGATTTCCAGCACGTGCCTCATGTTCCCTTCATCCCTTATCTCTGTAGTGGTGCAGGCCTAGGTGGAGCTCAGAGCAAGAATGCTTGTCTAGAAAGTACAGGGGCCTGGGTTCCAGCCTCTATTCATCTGATGAAAACTGTGATGGGCAGAACTCAGAAAAAGTCGGAATCCCCACTGTCCTTGGTGTATATTCAGTGGGTTATGAACCTTAAAATATTTAAGAAATGTAATTACATTTTGGTTAGGGCACTTGCTGCCAAGCCTGACCACCTGAGCTTGGTTCCCAAGGCCTCTACGATAAAAGGAGAAAACTCACAAGAGTTGTCTTCTGACCTGCATACACACACACATACACACACACACACACACTCACACACACATACACTCACACAAATGCACACATGTGCTCGAACACACCCTGTCCAATAAAATAAAAGAAGTAGTCTTCAGCTTTCAGTCAGCTATGGCAGGATAAGGCAGGGACCGTCCCTAAGTTTTAGCCCCTCCTTCCACCTGCACACAACCCTGGACACGTCTGGGTGGGGCTGACAGTGAAGAGGGGTCTCACAGCCCTGAACTTTCTTTCCCTTTTGCCCTTGGCTATAAGCTCCTCAGGATTCCAAGGCTCTGCCTGCAGCTCTTAGAAGTGCTAACGGCCAACCGAAAGAGGAACAGAAGTCACGTGTGCTCGGCCTGAAACCCCAGACACAGAAGCGAAACCGCTCTTTACTCTCGGGTAACGTCAGCAGCCTCTGGCAGTCAGTCCTTCACACTTTCCCAAAAAAGTACACCAAAACCTTAGATCTCTGCCCCAGAGAGACAACTGTGGTAACCCAGACTCAGTTCCTCTGAGGGCTGTACCCAAGAGGCAGGATGAGCCCAGTAAAACCTCAAAGGCAGTGTCAACCAGGGAAACCTTTAACCCATCACCGCGGACTCTGACCTAACCCAACATTCATTTTACTACTTAGTTATTCTGTGTGAACGTACGTGTGTGGGCAGGTGGCCACGCATGGGGGCAGAGGATAACACGGGGTATCAGTGCTCTCCTACCATGTGGGTGTCGGGGTCACAGAGGCTCACTCACAAATCTGCACACTGACCTCTTTTATCTGTTCTGGGATGTTTGGTGGAGCTTGAAACCAGTATTTCAGCCGGCTTTGGTATCTGAGGAACAGGATGAAGCAGGCTCCTGTCAGCACCAGCAGCAATGTGAAGATGCCCACAGGGATCAGGATGACGGGCGGCAGCCTGGTGGAGGCTAAAGATGGCAGAAGTGAGCAAGCCACAAGCAGCAGTCCACGCCTCACCTCCTCTGCTGGGCCGTTTCCTTGTCCCAGGAAAACCCACAGGCTCCCTCTCCCCCAACCCCGCCCTTGCCTTAATATGCGCTTAAACTAATAATTTTGTCTTGAAAATGTAAAACCTGAAAATTTCTATTCCAAAATCAAAAACTGCCCTGTCATAATACCACAAATGGGAAATTCCACATCCAAATTCATCTGATGGGCCCCAGTGCAAGTCCCAGTGCAAGCCCCAGTGCAAGCCCCAGTGCACTTGGAGTGGTGAGATAGCTCAGCAAGTGAAGGTACCTGTCTCTAAGCCTGACAAGCCTGCGTTTCATCCTGGAGACCCATGTGTGACAGCAGAGAGCAGTGTGACCATCCTCTGCCCTGTCACAATACCAGATGCACATGTTTGCACATGCACACACAGTAAGTAAGCAAAAAATGCACTAAAATTCTATATCACTGTATTAAAAATATTATATAAAACCTCCTTCAGGCTATGCATGCAAGGTGTCTATGAAACATAAGGGAATTTTGTGTTCAGATTTAGGATTCATCCCTAAGACTCTCACTATGTATATACAAATATTTTAAATCTGAAACAAGACAACCACAAATCTGACACACTCCTGGTCCCAAGTGTTGTGGAGGATGCTCAGCCTAGTCTCAGCCCTTGCTGCTGCAGGTAAGTACTTCCGGTCTCTCTGCCGTGACCACCAGCTACGCCACAGCATGCTGTCCTCAGCAGGTAACGGATAAATAAAGGTATGTCTTACCATCTGCTGTTGTTTCATGACAGGATACATTGCTCAAAAGCCCGTGTGGTCGGATATTTTTGTTTTTCAAAATCAGTTGTGCCTCAGTTTGTAAACAATATACTCTGAATGGCTTCAGATTACCCAGCACAATGGAGTTGCTCTTGAAAGGGCCTTCAACCTGTATAGATAGCACCAGAGCCACACAGGTCAGACAGACAGAGACAGACAGACAGACAGACAGACAGGCAGACAGAGCCATGCAGCTTCTAGCTTTTCTAGTGACTCCTCAAATCCACAGTGAACAAAACCAAATGGTAACAAGACCTTGGGGCTGTGAGGACCCATTAAGCCTCATGAGGCAGCCGAAACGTCACAAATCTTAATTTCTAGTATAGAAATTTCTCCTGTAAAACTAAAGCCTTGGGCTGGGAAGATGGTTCGGTGGGCACAGTGTTTGCTGTGTGATCACAAGAAGCTGAGTTCATTCCCTCAGCACCTATGTAAAGTCCGGCTTGATGTTCCATCTCTTATCTCCATTATTGGGGGGCAGAGTCAGGCATTGGGGGGGCAGAGACAGGCAGATCCTTGGAGTTTAGTGGCCAGCCAGTCTGGATAAGTGGTGAATTCTAGGTTCAGGGAGAGACTCAAAAAACGAAGGCGGAGAGCAACAGAGAGGCCACCTGATGTCACCCTCTGCCCCACCCTCCCCCCACACAAGCATGGATGTGTGGACCTGTGTGCAGGCCTACGTACACACACACACACACACACACACACACACACACACACACACACACACAAAGAGACAATAATAACCATCTGTGTCTTGGGTTAGACAACAGAGAAAAAGCATCCTGCAATGTGCCTTTAATTCCCAGTTTCTGATCTGAAGTGAAATGTGCCGATCTCTTTATGGTTAAAAGGACGTAGGTATTTATATCCTCAGGCTGTGTCAACTCTTCTGTTGGCCACACCTGTCTTGTAGCTTAGACTGATCAAAGTACCTGCCGTGTCATGGTGTGCTTTGCTTTCTCTACTTGGAGGTATTAATCCCAGGATGTCCTGTCTCCTTTCTCTCCTGCTGTCTCCATCTAGTCCTGTGTGGCCTCTTGCAAACCAATCAAACCCTTTACATGACATTGCAAACCACTGTCATGTAGTCTACACCAGAAGTGGCCCCACGAGGGCTGACATCAAAGAGGAGAGGGAGGACACTTGGGCCTTGTCCTGGTGTTGCTCCCATGATGACAGTAACTGAAATGACATCACACATCTATTGCTGTCTATATGCCAGGCCTAACTGTTGTTTGAAAAAGAACCAGGTCCCTAGACCTCCCCAAAGTACAGATACAGCAAAGCCGTGATAGGGAGGGAACCAGCAAAGCCCATGAATGTAACCAGACAGCAGGAATGGATGACACCAAAGGGTCAGATCCTTCTGGTAGAGGAGGGCTCAGGACAGCAAGGAGGGCTAAAACCAGCTCAGGGCTCAAGCTCCAGGAGACACTGGCAACCCTAGTCTCCCATCTCATATGGAAAATCTTCTTTCTTGTGAGTAAGAAACTCTAGGGACTGTAGAGATGGCTCAGTGGTTAAAAGCACTGACTACTCATGCAGAGGTCCTGAGTTCAATTCCCAGCAACCACATGGTGGCTCACAATCATCTGTAATGGGATCCTCTTCTGGTGTGTCTAAAGACAGCTACAGTGTACTCATATATATAAAATAAATCTTAAAACAACAACAACAAAAAAACCCTAAAGAGAAAAAAAAAAACAGAAGAAAAGGGTCCTTGCCTGTTGGGTTCCTGTCTTCTCCCAGTAGTGGACAAGATACTGAAAAGTTGCCCCCTGGTCCACATTAAAGGGAGGAGAAAAGTGTAGGACGAGGGAGTCTTTTCCTGGGGTCACCGAGATGTTTTTTGGAGGTCCAACAGTAACTGAAATGGAATCACAAAGACCTCACATGAGTGACGCACAAACACGCATATATACTGTGTATGTCTATTAAACACAATACACATCTACAGTGTGTGTACACAAACATTTATACTTACACAAGCAATGGGCTACACTCAGGTGCCCATTCTGAATACAAGGTTCTCTGAATATGAGAACCTGCGGGCTCTGGCAGGTGCAGGATTCACCCTGCTGAAAGGCCCTCTGAGCTGGAATCTATTAGAGCTACGTGGAAGTTGTTTTCTGATCCCCATCAGGGAGGGGCACGCTTCAAGGACTGTGGCCTTGAGAGAGGCATTCAAGATTGTTCTAGCAGAGATGCTGTTTCTCAGCTGGGAGTCATCTGACTGCAAGCAAAGCTTCCAGAATCACAGCAGACATCAGAATCCCAGAGAAACAGAACAGAAACTTAAGCTGGAGGCGAAGTTTTCATTCAGGGTGGAAGAGGTGTGCAAGGTTTGAAATTTTCAGAGAAGTGGGTGGATCTAGAGAACATTGTGTTAAGTGAGGGACTGAACTCAGAGAGAAAAAGACACTGCATGTTCCGCCTCATACGAGGATCTCAGTCTATCGTGTTCATGTGTAACACTAAATATGTTACATGTAAACAGGACAAAGTGTAGGGGTAGTATAACATTTACCCTATCATTGGGTTTTCTTTCACTGTTGATTTTTTGAAACAGGGTCTCTCAATGTGTAGTTCTGTCTAGCTTGGAACTCACGCTATAGACCAGGCTGGCTTTGAACTCATGGACATCTGCCTGCCTCTACCTCCCAAGTGCTCCGATTAAAGGTGTGCACCACCCTTAACCCCCAGCTCACTTTTAAATAAGCTGGCATTTTAATGGCTCTGGATTATTTGGGGGATTTTATTTATTCATTTATTAATTTATTTAGCTTTAAGTTTTCTATTACATTTTGCTGTTATAGTGGGAGGAACAATAAAATCTGACATGCTACCCAGGATTATACTTCTTAAAAAAAAAAAAAAGAAAAGAAAAGAAAAGAAAAGAAAAGAAAAGAAAAACCCTAGCCAAAATACTGTAACTGCTTACTACAGCATGAACTATCTAGACAGTGGTCATGTCTGTTGTCTTATACTTGAATTTCGAGCATGTGTGTGTATATATGGGGGCTCAGCAGTACAGCACCTGCCTGGGAGGTATCAGGTCCTTGCTTCCTAGCACCACAGCAAAGAAAACAAAAAATGGTTGTAACTGTCTTCCCATAAAACACTGTTTATGGGCTGGAGAGATAGCTCAGCGGTGAAGAGCACCGACTGCTCTTCTAGAGGTCCTGAGTTCAACTCCCAGCAACCACACAGTGGCTCACAACCATCTGTAATGGGATCCGACGCCCTCTTCTGGTGTGTCTGAAGAGAGCAATGGTGTACTCATATACATAAAATAAATAAATGTTTCTTTAAAAACAGTTTACAATAACAGGTGTGGAGTCAGATTGCGAGCCCTAGAGCCTGGTGCAGCAGCAGCTTGAGGTCCGTGATCTCTGACAACCTTACCATTTGTCTTTGGCGTATTAGGATGAAGGCCAGGACCAAGGTGTTGGGTAGGTTCGGTACTGATCACTGAAGAAGCACGCAGAGGAAACCTGGGACTGTGACATTTCTTTTTAAAGGTGTGCCTATTTTATCTATCTGTGTGTGGGTGTGGGTGCCTGAGGAGGCCAGAAAAGGGCCTGGAGCTGGAGTTTCAGACAGTTGTGAGCTCCCAAACGTAGGTGCTGGGAACTGAACTCTGGTCCTCAGCAAGAGCCAACGGCTGAGTTGCCTCTCTAGCCCCTGTAAAGCTTTCTTCCTGAGTCCTCTTACCATTCTCGTAGTGTAGAAACGGATCCAGCGTCACCCAGTCGGAAGTGCGATTTCCTTGCTTGGCTCGCACCCGCAGGAAGACAGAGAGTGAGCGTGTGAAACCCTTTAAGCGGCCGCCTCCTGTGAAGTCACACTTAGTCTCTGCGATGTCTGTACAGTTCAGCCTCTGCAACCTATACCAAGTGCCATCTATGCTGGGAAAGAAGACAAGATCTCAATTCACAGAATTCTCTCTTCACACGCAACACTAAAAACACTAACTTCTCCATCTGAGTAGCTTACTCACTCGTCCTTTTGGCAAAGGTCAAGCACAGAAACTCTTGACTAGATTAATTCACACACCAGGCCTACTCAAGTGCCAATGCTCTCAGGATGTGCACAAGGTTAGGAGACCACCAGTATGATCCATTTTTAAAATATGTGGTTATTTGCTCCTCCCCCACAAAAGCCCCCATCTGGTATCTATTGAGAGTGATTCTCCACTCCTCTTCAACCTGAAGCCCCAGTCAGCAGCAAGGACTGAGGTACTGTCTGTCTCAAGAGGCACCCTCATCCTGAACGGAAGGAACCATGCCATGTGGATACGTATGACCTACTGGTCTCTCGTGGCTGCCTTTATGGCAGGTCCATTCAAGATAGAGAATGTCTCCGTCTTTTTCCTCTAAAGCTTTAACATTTTGTGTATTGTCTTTATGTGCATTCATGTGCTGGGATTAAAGGTGTGAGCCACCACCACTCATCTCACAACAATTGTAAGAATGTTTCTCAGAAGACAGACTTGTGGGGGAACAGGGGTACAGAGGGTAAAAACAGGCTGATTTTGGCTGCATTGAAATGAACAATGAAGTGAACAGGGTTCATCGAGCTCCACCAGATCCGTTGGTCTAAGCTTGACTATCAGGAGAGTCCTCCCCACTTCAATGCTGTGGCCACAAGCTTTTCTCCCTGGCCTCTTTGTTCCCAGAATAAAGACTTGGAGACTGAATTGTATATGAATAAATGCCTAGGCCGCAAGCTTTCGCTCCTTCCCTGTCTAGCTTGTAACTTACATAACCCGTTTATTCTATTCTGAGGGCCACATGGCTGGATACCTCTCCCGTCTCCAGCGCCTCTGCTGAATTCCCAGAGTTCCACCCTTTTCTACCAGAACTCCCACGTATTTCTTCCTGCCTTTTGCTACATGGCAGTCGTCTTTTTCACAGTGCAAGAGACAAGAGATTCTCTCTACACTGCGCACGAGGTCATTCTAGACTTCTGTTTCAGAAATTACCTAACTTGTTGTGCGAGAGAGTGCCGGGCATCTGTGATGGTGAATTTGAACTGCTAACTTGACTCTCCTGTAGATTTGGCTTTGCTACCATGACCTTCATAAAAAGCAAAGGAGGCATCTTCATTTACAATGGCAGTTCTGCTTGACCACAGACAAACACAGTTTTTAAGTCTTCGTTTCAAACACTAAGGGGCGCATTACTAAGGAAGGCACTCTACCATGCTCCCTGGCTTCCACATGCCTGTGTGTGTACATGCACGCACATGTGTGTGTGTGTGTGAGAGAGAGAGAGGTTTGCATACACATGTGCACTCACCCACCCCACAGACAAACAGACAAACAACCCTAGAGTCAAACAAGTCAGTCTGTAATATGAAGCTCTGTGGAAGTCTTTTTAAAAAGCTCAGAGTACAGTGACACAGGCCTGGAGTGTCAGCTACTCCTGGAGTGTCAGCTATTCCTGGAGGCTGAGGCAGGAGGATTTCCAGCTCCAGGGCTCTCTGAGTAAAAATGGAATACATGTCTCAAAACCAGACAGGTTTTGTTTATTACCATGTGCCCAGTGATTTCAGTTTGATCTTCAACTTACTTATGTGACCAGGAAACCAAAAACAAAACTGTTTAACTGAGCAGTTTCTTACTGAATATTTCTTTGCAAATCAAGTGGTGGCCAGCGATGGAGAAAGACAGACCGGAGGTGAGAGGCAGAACAAAGGGGAGAGGCAGAACAAAGGGCGCGAACATTCAGAACAGAAAACCAGGTGAGAAACAGAGCTCATTGTAGTCTGCTGAATAAAGTCCTCAGTAGGGTCAGTTTGGACTTTGAGGTTTTTAAACCTGAAAGCTGCCTCTTGCCTTTCAGAGAGGGCGGAAGTGAATCCTCTCTCTGTACAGGACAAAGGGGTTAACTTTCACCACTAAAGGAGGTCTCAGCAGCCAGTGTAGAAGCCAGGCTTAAATCCACCTCTGCTGAGCAGGCGGTGATGAAATCTCTGTCCTCGAAGTTTTAAATGCATACAAGGTCCCACCCACTACAGTCTTGCTGAGAGCCCGGGTCAGGATCTGACTCCAGGCCTTCCATCCAATCCCCCCACTCCCCAGCCCCAGCAGGTCCCAGCGAGGATATCGCAGAGCGTTCACTTACTAGCTATACTCCACCTGGTAGACCACTGGTCTCGCGTCGTTGCTGGAAGGCGACGGCTCCCAAGTTAGAATCTGCTCTTCGTTGTACAGGTGAAGCTTCGGGTTCAGAGGAGCAGCAAGCTGGGAAAAAGAGTCTTGAGAGGGACAGGGAACGGGAGGAGGAACGGGGCGGGAGAGAAGGGGACAGTTCAGAAAACACTGAATCACTAAAGTGTTTCTGTGCCTGTTATCAAAGCCATTTCTTCAACACAGCTCTGGTTGCAGTTTGGTTCTGGGAAGGGAGCAGCTGTTCTCCCTGACACACCCCCTGGGCCTGAGTGTGAGGAGGCATGTTTTAGGTTACCCTCTAGGTCGTGGTAACCACAGCCTGACTATACTGGGTTCCCACTTCTACCATGAGTGGCACTGGACTGTGGGCTGCCCAAGACTCCATCTTTCTACAGGGATAACCCTACCCTTAACCAATAATAGAACACCCCATAGAGTAAGCATCTACTAGGCCCAGGTAGAATACCAAGGTGACCCTGCATATATGTGTTGATGCAGATGCCCCAAATCAGATAGACAACTCCCAAAGACGTTTGACAGGTGAGCAAGCGTGGACATTATTTGCTCCTCAAAACCTTTCAGCATCCCATTGCTGAGATCTGGAGAACGTTCTGAATCCCAGGGTCGAAGCCACAGAGGAAATGTGTACTTTTAACTTGCCTCCCAGCTCTGAGAGCCACAAGTCACAAAAGAATGTATTCCTTGGAGGTAGAAGTTTCCTCTAAGAGACCAGGCAGATACTCTGCAGGCTGGTAGAGACTGAAAACACTGGAACCTTCCCTCAAAAGAGAAATCATTGTAACACTTTCTCTGATGGAAAGATTAATGAGGACTACTCAGAAGGTGGAAAGAAAAACATGCTGCTCCAGAATTCAAAGCAGGAAGCCCAAACCACATGTTTTCAGAGAGCCCTTCCAAGCCCAAAGAAGGGTGCAGAGCCGCCTCCAGCCGCCGAGGCATGGCGGACCCACACCAGGCTGCCGCCACCTGTCTATGCACTGACTGCCCAGCACCTTCACCTCTGGGAGCTCCGGCCGCTCAACACTGGGGAACATTCACACAGGCCTCGGGGGACGGGGTGGCGGGGCAAGCCAGATCTGCAAAGCAGCAAGGTGGAGGGCAGGCATGGTCAGCTCACTGAGGGCTTAGCGGAAGCCAGGGAAGCCAGGCACCCATCAACAAATCTCAGAGACAGCTTTTCCTGTGTGCGCTGGGTTTCTGTCCCTGATGTAGCACATCCCCCAAACACCAGAGCTCTTATTATCTCATTTATTTCACTACATTGATCGTCACTCTGAGGTCAGATGTGTGAAGTAGGCCTAGGGTGGAGATGGCAGTGGGGCCCCTGTTCCTTCTGGAGTAGCCATGAGAAAACCCCAGGGCTCCTCCTTCTTTGTGCTCTGGAAGCTATAGGCTTTCTCTGTTAGTGCTGGGCCCAGTCAGCCTTGTGTTGCCCTCTCTGATTCTCTTTCATGGTTCCTCACTCTATCGTTCAAGGACCCTGGCAATGACCGTGAGTCCATGTAGATCAGAATCCAGGATCATCCCCTCAGTCAGGATGTTCAACTCAGTCATACCTGCAAAGACCCTTCTGTCAGACCACATATCCCCAAGGTCCGGGCATCAGTGCCTGGGCATCCTTTAACGGGCATTACTCTGCTGAACACACGCTCCCCTCCCCATCTCTTACATCTCTGGAGGAACCAGAAGGAGTATTTTCTTCCTCTGCTGGGTCCCTATCCTTACAATCTAAACATCATCTAAGAGAGGGACCAGGTGAGAAAGAACCTTACTCTAACCACATGTGGAAGAAGAAAGCTATCTAGTTCTCAGATACAAAAGAAACTCAGGACAAATGGCTAACTGTGGTGCCTATTAGCACACCAAGTGTCTGCGGCCTCAAGGCCCACTCAGGACCTGTGGGTCTCCTGAGCACTTCTCATCCAACCCCTATCCTAAACTCCAGCTCACTGGCTTCTGGCTTCCTTCCGGGGGAAGGGGGAGCCAGCTTCTCATTCCTAGGTAATCTGACATTTGAGCTATGCGCTTTCCTAGGTAATCATCTGACATTTGAGCTATGCGCTTTCTTGGACCTCTTTTGCCTTCCTCAGTCTCTGTCTCCTCCTCTCTGCACAGCCTGGTCCAGTCTGCTGGCCATGCTCAGTACTACTTCCCCTGTTGTGGACTCCTCCGGATGCCTCGGACTGTACTCTCTGATCTCCTCCACCTCAACCACTCCTTGGAGCCTTTCTGTCTTCGCTTTACGAACAAGTCAGGGCTGGGGCTGGGGGCAGGAGTAGAGCTCAGTGGCACACACTTGCCCAGTGGCTTAAAGCCCTGGGTCGGATGCCCAACACTTAAACACAAACAACAAAAAGCTGACTTGGCAAGAGGGAGTTCTCAGACAGGCTATAAGGAAAACCTCACTCACACAGCGTGACTTTGTCTCCACTGGGAGTTTCTTGGAACTTATCTAATCTTATTTACTGGAGAAAACGAGTCTCAGAACTGTGGACTCCCCAGGGAAGTGCCAGAGACCGTCTGCCAGAAAGCACTTTACCAGACAGCCTTCTTCACTTTCTGGATGGCCCGTCCTGGAACCTCACCCTCTCTGCATCAGCCCCTCTCTGCGCCTGGGAAACAGCACACACTGTACTTGGAACCTTGCTTTGCTGCTCCCTCTCCAAGGAGCCTCCCTGCTGTCTGTTCAGACTGACCCTATAGTAAACATATAAACCGCCCATCTCTATTGTCATGCTGATTTTACTCCCGAGGGAGATTCACACTGGACAGTGGTGAGAAGCACAGACTTTAGATGTAGATCATTTGGGCTCCTCCGCTATTGTCTTCTGTGTTTGCCTCTGGATAAAGCGTTTGGGTCTCCACAGAGGGGCTGGTCACAGTGTACTCTCAATACAGTCTATTTATTTATTTATTTATTTATTTATTTATTTGAGTACACTGTAGCTGTCTTCAGACACACCAGAAGAGTGCATCTGATCCCATTACAGATGGTTGTAAGCCACCATGTGGTTGCTGGGAATTGAACTCAGGACCTCTGGCAGAGAGCAGTCAGTGCTCTTAACCACTGAGCCATCTCTCCAGCCCCATACAGTCTTTCTGAGGAAGGAGTGAGTTTGTGTGCTGTGTAGGTGTGTCCCGCCACCCCCAGGTTCTGCTCCCTTTTTTGTTGTTGTTGTTGTTGACAGCTGTCCATCAGTCTCTCCTCAGCACCAGACAGACACTTTGAAAAGCTGAGGTACTGTGGGATTCAGGGGTGCTTTTTCTCTGGACCTGGAACAGCAGGCTCAGAAGAGTGAAGAATGAGTGTTATACTGACAGACAGGCGTCAACCATGAAAAAAAAAAAAGGAACAAAACCCACATAAGGCCCAGGCGCTCTCTTCCTTGCTTGCTTTGTGTATGGCCCATGGTTTTGTGCTGACCTTCTCTGGATGGCTCTAAAAACTCCTGATACTGTTGTGTCACTGGGATCTAACTACCTGCTAGTAGTTTGGTTCATGATTGCAGTGGATCTCCGTCCATCCTAACAGGGAAGGAACGCATGTGGAAAAGCTGTCATTGGCAGCTGAGTGTGTGTGGCTGCATACCTAACCTATTCTTAAGAATCGATCAAGTCTCAGGTGTCTAGATCCCGGAACATCTTGGGTGAAGCATGAGGGGCAAGATAGAAGGACCTGGGATGGAGGTGCAGCTGGGACGGAGATACAGGGAGCACGTTCATGCAGACTACGCCCAGCTCTTATCCTGAGTGGTTCGTGACTCAGAGGCCACTGGGGCAGGGAGAAAGGAGGAGCTTTACTCACTCCCCTAGGACCTGGGAGCTTTTGCCCGTAGAAGGTGCAATGTCTTTGAAGACCTGGTATCCACCCACAGGGGCCATGTTACTTTCCTATTGTTGTTGCTATAGGAAAGCAATAGCAATGACCAAAAAATTAGTGTCTGAAAACAATAAACATTATCTCAAAGTGCTTCGGCCAGAGAGTGGCAGGTGTTTCCAGGGCAAAGGTCATGGTCCTAGTGCTGCAGGTGGAAGAACTCTACCCCGCCCAGATTCTACTGAAACAATCTCTCTCGTGATTATACTGCATATAGCCCAGATATGCCAAAACAGACTGCCAGCTAAGATCCTCTGACTAGGAACCTGCCACTTCTCATGTAACCTAACAGTCACAGGACACAGGCATCTTGAAGAAGAAGGCATGCTACTCTGTGACAGGACAGAGCCACTGAATACTGTGCCAGCCGGAGACCACTGCAAGCAGTCTCTGGAACCAGCTCTCATTAACTGCAAGGCAGCCATGGGAATCGGGAATTAAGAAACAGCCACATCTTAAATGTGATATCTTTACTTAATTTGTGTGTGTATGAGTGTGTGTGTGTGTGTGTATGAGAGAGAGAGAGAGAGAGAGAGAGACAGAGAGAGAGAGAGACAGAGACACAGAGAGAGAGAGATAGAGAGAGAGAATGACTTGTGGAAGTCAATTCTCTCCTGCTACCTTGCAGATCCTAGATTTCAGAGTTAAGTCACTAGCCTTGCCAACAAGCATCTATCTCACCATCCCCCCACTCCCCCCAAAAAACCAAAACAACACTCAAAACAATCACATCTTTAAAAATAAAAAACAAAAGACAGACTATGCTGTCTGGTTTTGCCTTTCACTTATTTTTTTTTAAGATTTATTCATTATTTTTATTTACGTGAATGTGTATGTGCCTGCATGTGGCTATCAGGTGCCACAGAGGGCAGATAGCGTCTGACCCCCTGAATTGGTAGCTGTGAGCCGCTTGACATGGGTGCTGGGAACCGAACCCCAGACCTCTGCAGGAGCAGTGAGTACTCTTAGCCGCCATCTCCTCAGCTCTGCTTTTCACTTCCGATCCTGGGCTTGCCTCTCACAACTCTATGGGAAGGAGTTTCATTATTTATGAGGAAACCGAGACCCAGGTGTGGGCTTGCGGGATCCTGTGGCTCATGGCAGGATTCCAGGCGAGGCCCTTTACCCATTATTCTGCTCCCACGAAGCTGTGCCGTGGCCCTATGTGAGCCTCGTTATTGTTAGGGGCTGACATGTCCCCTACAAGCTCACTGGTTCTCCAGCCTGTGAGGCTATTTTGAGAGCTATGGAGCCTATAAGTGCAGAGCCTGCATGGAAGGAACAGATCCAGTGAAGACAGGTCTCTGAAGGTTATACCCACTCCCTGGTTCTAGCCTCTCTCTCTGCCTCTGGTCAGCCTCCCATGAATCACGCCTGACACCAATGACCTCACCTCCAGCAACTTAAATGTAACAGGGAAATCATCAGTCCTCACTCCTCAGTCAGAGCCAGGAAGTTATTCTTTTTAGTAAATCCCCAACAGCAAGTGGTTTTTTTTTTCCCCCTAGATCATTTGTCTCTTCCTGGGAGTAAAATATGAAGATTAAAAGAGAAAATATACATACAGCCCTTAGCAGCTTGTCTCAATAAATGGGAGCTAGGATTATCACCTATCCAACTACAAGACAGTTTCACCTGAAGAGACAACACCCAAACAGGAAACTCCCTAACACCCATTGGTTTGGACCTTCCTTCAAGTACAGACACACACACACACACACTTACTTGCACACACACTCACTTGCACACAGAGACAGAAAGAGACACACACAAAGAGATGCACACACAGACACATACACACAGAAAGACACATATACACAGACACACACATAGAGAGACACACATACAGACACACATGCACATATACACACTCATATATGCAGAGACACATGACATACTCAGACAGACAGACACACAGAGACACACATACACAGACACACATACACACACATATACACACAGACACATGCATGCATACATATACACACAGACACACACACACGCACACATATACACAGACACACACACGCACACACACACACGGCTACTCCACTGTACAATGAGCAGCCTTGACGACAAGCTAAGCCTTGATCCTTCCATGCAGACTGAATAAGGAGTCTCATGCCATTAATTTTTTCATTTGTTTTTGTTTTGTTTTTTTTCTGGTCTGCAGCAAAAGGCTGCCACCTAACAATGCAACAAAGAGTAACTACAGACTGTTTGGGGTACAGTATTATGCTATCCTTGACTCCCTGGAAGGGTTTGATATTCCCTTAGACCCTCATGTCACTCTTAACAAACAATAATGCAAAATTTTCACACTTTTATGAAGAGAAAAGAAAAAGAAAAGAAAAGGGTAAACTTCCCTTTCAAAGCCTTGTATGGGGGCTGTAGAGATGGCCTAGTGGTTAAGAGCGCCTCTACCAGAGTTCTAGCCCTCACATGGCGGCTCAGAAGTATTTATAGCTCCAGTTCTGGGAGCTCTGACAGCCTCTTTTGGTCTCCAAATGCAAGTGGTGCACAGACATACATGCAGGCAAAAACCCGTATGTTGTTAAAAGGAATCTTACGATTCCTGAGGACCATTCATAACCTATGGAACAGTATGGGAATATTCTCATTACCTGTTGGACGCAAGAATACTTAATATTTTCACTTTGCATTGTGACTAAAAAGGGTTTCTTTTAAATATATCGTAGTAAGGTTTTTCTTTTCATAAAAGTGTGAAAATTTTGCATTATTGTTTGTTAAGAGTGACATGAGGGTCTAAGAGATTTACAAAAGGCTACCATTTTCAAAATATCTAAGGATCCAATTTGTTGTTAACGAGCCATAGACCTCGACTTTTGTGGAAAATAATAAAAGTTAATCATTAGAAAAATGTCTGTTGTAAAGTTTCTAAATAGTCTAGCAACTTCTGAACTCATAGTTCACAGACATCTCAGACAATTGCAGGCTCTCCTCCAAAGGAGACCTAACTGTGTGTGTGGGTGTGTTAGATACAGATTGCTCAAGGCAAAATGAGAGTCAGGGTTTAAAACATTTATTTGACTCTAGGAGAAAAAGTTAACCGTGTGACTGATACATCCTCCTGTGCACTGCAGCCAAAAAGGAGAAAGACAACTTCAGGGCCTTTGCGGGATGCTGACAGAGGACCAACCCCTCAACACCACTTCCAAGGGGAGGGAACTTCCCAATTCGTAGGCTTATTTAACTAATGGCCAAACTTTAAAAAAACAAAACAAAACAAAACAAAACAAAAAACCAACAACAGCAAAAAGCAAGACCCACTGCGAGTAGCCCAAGCTAGCCCAGCCGGAAACTTCAAGGCCCTTCTTTCTCATCCTGAGTTCTTTGTTTTCACAAGGATGCACCCCAGACTCACTGTAGACTCCAGACACCCAAACTTTGATATGATCTGTGCATGGGAAAGAATCCAGCAGAACATAATCATATAGGAAGAATGTTCTTGGCCGGTGATGTTTTTCTTTTGTTGGTTTTGATGACTGGCTCATAAATACAGTCAGGTGGTGACAAAGGTGGGAAGTTGAAGAACGGGAAAGGGCTGTGTGAGCGGAGTAGGGTAGAGCTTAAAAGTGTGGCTCAGCTGACCCCCTGTCCCCATACACTGGAGGGGGACACAGACATTTCTGCTCCCCATCGATAAGATCCTGAGGAATTGAGTACCAGGATTTTATAGGCCACCCAGACAAATACTGGTCCTGCCCTTCAGCTGATCTCCCTGGCACCAAGCAGCCAAAGACGAACAGGACTTTCCAGCTCCAGGCCTGGAATTCCCCGTGGTCCACGCCACACTCACTGCAGCTCCCTCTTGCAGACTCCTCCCGGTCGGTCCCCCCGCCCGATCGCGGTCACCCGCAGATCGGGAAGCGCTGCAGATCCCCAACCCTGCGCCGGGTGCAGACTCTCGGCGGCACCCACGCGACACCCGCGGAAGCCCAGGGAGTCGGGGTGTCTCTTGGACCGCGCTTACCTGGCAGAGACATCGTAGCGCCGAGCCCACAGAACAGCAGCGACGGCAGCCACAGTGGCGGAGGCCGCATGGCCCGGGCGGCCCGGGACCGCGGGGCGGACGCCGCTCAGACCAGCACCGCAGCGGCCATGGCGAGCCGAGCGCCCGCCTCTTCCCAGCCTGGCCGCAGAGCGGCGCCGCCCCGCCCGCCCCGCCCCCACCGAGCCCGGCCCCGCCCCGCCCGACCGCGGGACTTTCCCCGGTGTTCCCGGGAACCGGGGCCCCCGCAGCTAGGCACCCTGCCGCGGTGACCCTGGCCGCACCCCGCCGAGCCGACCTCCAAGGCGTGGCCAGGGGCCTCTAGGATCATCTTTCCGGAGAGACCCGCGGACACCCAGCCCCACCCCACCTCCGACTCCCGCCACGCACGATTTAAGGACCTGTCCATTTATTTTGAATTCTGTTCTCTTTAATGGCCCGAAAGATCGTGCTAAGCTTTGAACCCTTTAAGCAGAGGGTTACTTAAGGGTATAGCAGAAGGGACTCTCTGGGCTGTGGAGTCACAGAGAACGAGGAAGAAAAGCTAAAGGAACTTCACTGGTTGCTTAACAGTCTGTGGGTTTGTCCCTTTGTGGCTGTGAAGCTACGAGGAAGTGACCCCAGAGCCGGGCAGGGACAGGCTCCCTGCCTGAGCCTTCCCCAGTGGCAAGCCTGTTGGCAGAGACGTTCACATTTCGGCCACAAAAAAAGGGGCAACGAAAGGAATGGTTTGAGAGACCCAGAGTCAAAGAAAGGGGTCATCAGAACCGCAGCTATGACTCCTAACCACTAAGGCCTCCGCCTCAGGAAGCTGAAGTTGACTTTAAACTGTAGTTGAAGCTGGCCTTGAACTTCAGATCCTCACGTTGCTACTTCTCAGGGGTTAGTCGTGGGCCCCAACAACTTCCCTTGTGCCTATGGCTCCAGAAGTTGGCCTGTTATAAAAATACGTGATGAAATAGCTGGCAAGAATTCGAACTTTGCCTTGAGAATTTCAAGACACAAAAATGTACTTGCATGCCAAGTGAAGAGGGCTTGTTGGATTCTTTTCAACACAGGAGAGGTAAAGGAGAGAAAACCTAACCACCACTGGCTGTGGATTACGAATAAGTGTGCCCTTCTCAGTGCCCTGTACCCGCCACCCTCAGCATGTTTTATTTTTATGAGGCAGGTTAAGGAAAAGGACTCAACTAAAGCCACGAAGGGTTTGTGACCACTGAGCTTTTCAGCCAGTGGTCTTAACCCCAGATGTGCTACTACCCTACCCCACTCCCTACCACACCCCTCTCTGGAATCGCCCTCCCCCAGCACAATGCTAAAGGGCATTCCTTGGATCTACACCCCATGCCTCCAGCATACAGCACCCCAAATGCAAGTGGTTCTCTCCTTGCCCCAAGGCAGGCCAGCTAGGCGCTGACATCCACTCTCTTGCCCTTCCTGACTAGAGGAGCCCTGATGTCGATAGCTGGCTCTTCTGCTGAGATCTGGCAGCGGAAGATAACAGAAACTCGGCTCTGGCATTTCCTGTGAACGGTGTATAGCACTCTTGGCTCTGTCTTTCCCTCTGAGCACCTGTGCCATGTGCCTCCATTTCTGTGTTTTCTCTCTTTCATGGTGTTTCTTCCCTTTGGAGATAGGCTTACTGTGGACAGAGTAAAAGATCAAAACTTAGGGTGTTTTATTTGCATCTTCCAAGACCATGAGAGCATGCACATAGTCACAGTGCTTTCAAAAATATTTACTTCGTGTGTACGTAAAGCCTTGTCACTGCTCACAGAGGAAGGCTTACTAGTTGGCTGACATCCTGAATGGCAGGAATGAGCCCCTACCGGATATTCCACTACCACTGCCTCATTTCTCAGGCCAAGTGTGTTTAGTTTTTGCTCTGTGATAAAGGGTACCAGCTTTCCCTGCAGGACATCTGCATGAATATTCAAATTGGAGGCCTGATAATGGAGAGGTCTGGGTTCTAGCTACTTTTAGTTGCTAACTGGTCCCGATTCCTTACTTCTCATTTACAGTCTCCCAATTTCTTGCCTGAGCTCTTCCTCCTCCGACATGGGAAAGACGGTGCCACCTCCGACATGGGAAAGACGGTGCCACCTAGACTGTGGTCAACTCCTGTATCAGATCAAATACTTCTAACATCCTATCACATGCATGTGCACGTTGCATGATGCTTCTGCTCCTTTGATCAAATTCTGGCTGAGCTTGTCTCAGACCACGTGATCGGTAGCTAATGCTGGGCACTTGCTTGACTTTAAAGCCTACTTCAGTTCGAATCTAACTGACTTCGGCTGCTGGCTTCATTCTCCTGGAACCAGTCCCAGTAGCTCTCTCCTTGCTGTTAACTACCCAGGAGTCCCTGCAGCTGTGTTTCTCAGAGGCCACTGTGCCCACATCTCTGCTTCTTTTGCTGCTGTGGATTTAACACCTTGCCCCTCTTCTCCAAGTCCCTTGTTCCCATGCCTATTATCTAAATGCTAAGCTCAGTCTCTCCTCTGGGCATCTGCCTCCAGAGACCTGGAGCCTCCCTCCCTCACCTTTTTCTTTGCTTGGTATCACTTCTCAAATTACTGCTCTCTATAGGATGTGGCACCTCCATAGGGGGCTCACTGACTTCTCTGGGTGTCTGCAGTTGAGTGCCCTCTGTGGGCATAAACTGAGCCTCCTGTTTTAATTAAACCCTAAGTAGGCATCTGATGATCGCTGAGTGAAGTTTTGGGTTGTTGCTGGGCACTTTCTCTTTCAGGCGCAGGCTCAGAAACCTTTCCACAAATGGTAGTGACTTTTGCAGTTCTCATTTTCTTAAGGGAGCATTTATTTCGGCTCAAGGGCTCAAAGAGTTTCACTCTATCCCAGCAGGGACAGCGGAACAGCGGGAGTGTGTGTGGAAGCCTTTCACATTGCAGAGCACCAGAGAACAGGAACCAGGTACAAGTGTAACCTTCAAAGGCCTGCCCTTGGTGACCTACTTCTGCCAGCTAGGCCCCATCTCCTAGAAGGTTCCACAGACTCCTGAGTTAGCACCGTTGGCTGGTAACAAATTCAAGTGAAATCTGCAGAGAAGAGCAACTTCCCTGAGGTCTGCAGGAGCAGACTGTTTCTTACTGTGTCCATCACTGGTCACAGCTCCCTCCTCCCTCAGCCCCAAAACACTGGGTTTGTTGATTGTCAAGGAGTTACACTTCAGAAACCTCCCATGTCTTCTCCAGCACCCTCCACTATCAGCGACCCTCCTGAGTGAAAGAGTGTGTTACAGAGCAGGACACCTACTGACCATGCCTTCTTCAAACAAGCCGTGAGAAGTGTCCAGCAGAGAAGAGAGCATCTTCCAGCTTCTCGCTCTCTTGACAAGGGGCACTTCTGCCCCTTGGCTTAGACTCCCCTTGTATGTGATAAGTACCATCAACCCCAAGAAGACACCACAGGCTTCTGGAAGTTCCTGGTGGGAACTGGAAAGGGAAGGCTGAGGTTTTGTTTGCTTGGACTCAGGGCAGGATGTGTGTCATGAAGTCTCCCATGTTTTGCTAATTCTGAGAACCTTCGATTAATCTTTTTTTCTAGAAAGATTAAGATCATGGTGTGTGTGTGTGCGTGTGTATGTGTGTGTGTGTGTGTGTGTGTGATGTAACATTTACTCTCTGGGATCCTGTAAGTTTCCAGGAAAAGCTTGGCAGTTGGGCAAATCAGAGCTGTCTCAGATGCAGGGCTGGATGCTTTGGTGATGGGTGTAAGTCACAGGGAAGAACTGGGAGGCACCAGAGAGACACGTGTGATTCACTTTGGTGCTATCAGCAGACCTGAAGTTACGTCCATGCTCTCCACTGACCAGCAGTCTCCTTGGTCAGTCTTATGTGTGATTGCTCCACTGAGCCTCACACAAACCTGTGATGGAAGGCAGTGACCACGGGTCGTACTTTTGGACTGCCCAGAACCTTGCTGTCTTCGGGGCCATTTTCAGTCTTATGAATACCTTGTGCCTCGAGAAAATTTCAATCCCGAGCCCTCCTTGCTTACAGCATGCATCCATCTCTTTCGGTTTGTGCTGGCTTCATTCTCCACAGGAGTGGCTTTAAACAGCATGTCTCCACTGTCCCCAAAACACACCCCAAATCACTCCCGGCCCCACCTGGCGCACCTCCTGGATGTCTGATTCCTCAACATTTTAAAACATTATTTTATGTGTATGAGTGTTTTGCCTGCATGTATGTCTGTGAACTATGTCCATGCCTGGTGCCCACTGAGGTCAGAAGAGGGCATCAGATTCATGGTTGTGAGCTGTCATGGGTGGAGGAAATCCAACCAGGGTGCTTTGCAAGAGCAGCCAGTGGGTGCTGAGCCATCTCTTCAGCCCTTCTAACAATTCTTTTTTTTTTTTTAAAGATTTATTTATTTATTTATTTATTTATTTATTTATGTATATGAGTACATCATTGCTGTCTTCAGACACACCAGAAGAGTTTATCAGATTCCATTACAGATGGTTGTGGGCCACCATGTGGTTGCTTGGAATTGAACTCAGGGCCTATGGAACAGCAGTCAGTGCTCTTAACCACTGAGCCATCTCTCCAGCCCAACAATTCTTTCTCAACTCCATTAAACTGAAAGAATTTTACATCATCTACTCTATTGGCTAAAAAAAGGCTAATCCTGGTCTCTTTCTTTGCAAACATCCACACATAAACCCTTTCCCATGTTTCCCTTACCTTGATCATTGTGAGTCCCTTTGTTTTAAGACTATATATTTGATACTAGCCTGGCCCGGGAGAGACCATGGCCATGATGGTAGTTTTCCAGGGCAAGACTTACCCACTTTGCTCAAGATATATTGATCTCTGTGATTTCCCCAAATGAGGGAAACTTGACAGATACTTTTATGGTAGTGGAAAATTACACTTGCACTCTCCCTCAAGAAGTGTTAAGAAACGTAAAAAGTGCTGGTTGGTGGTGGGGTACACTTTTAATCAGGTGGATCTCTGAGTTCAAGGCCAGTCTGGACTACAAAGTGAGTTCCAGGACAGCCAAGGCTACACAGAGAAACCCTGTCTCAAAAACAAACAAACAAACAAACAAACAAACAAGAATCTTTGCCCTCAAGATATATTTTTTTATTTATTTACTGTTACTCTCTGTGTTTGCAAAGGTTTTCCTTGAAGCTCTTATGAATCTTGTTTTCTGTGCTTTCCTCACTTGTGGGAGGAGAGTCCGTCTCCAGCGTGTATCCGTGTGCACTTGTATGTGAGTGTATGTGTAGGTATGTGTGTACTTACACATGCATATATCTGTGGTGTGTGTAGATGAGTATGTTTTGAACAGGACTTGAGCTTTGACCTGTGAAAAAGTCCACAGAACAGAGTTGCTGAGAAAGGACAGGTTTTTTTTGGTTTGGTTTGTTTTTTTCAGCCTCAGCCTCTGTTTCGTTTCGTGTAGTTTGTCTAGGAACGGGCTAGCTGCTCGTGTAGCTGCAACAACAACAACAAAAAAGATGCACTGGGTGAGTTGAGTCTAACTTACTTCCTGCTACAACCTCTTGGGAGTTGCCAGTTGGCGATTCTCAATTCTTGAGGCAGAGCAAGTTGCCACGCTGAAGAGGGTGTAATTCAGGCCACAGGTAAAAAGACTTTCTGTTTAATATGCCCCAAGTCTTTCCTGGGAAAGTGAACACTTTCTACAGGGCTTTTGGGACTTTTGAGACCCACCCTGTGGGTGCTTCATTCCTCCTATCTGGCATGTCTGCAGCATGGCAGGGATCCATCCTGAGAGCCCCCAGTTCAGAGATGGGTGAGCCATGTCCCTCAGCAGTGCCTTCCTTCTGTGAGGTCTTCCTGGGCTTTTGTCCTGTCAACATGGGTTCCATATTGCTGCTCTAACATGCCACCACAAACTTAGTGTTTTAAGATAAAAATGGCAGGAATCTCCAAAGGGTTGACACAGCTGTGGCTTTGGGGGAGGCTCCAGGGGAAGAGAGATACATTTCTTTGCCTTTTCTAGCTTCGAGAGGTTGGTGCCTTATTCCAATTCATGAGCCCCTTTTCCTTAAGTCAGCAGCACAGGTTCTTCCGTTATTCAGCTCGTTCTCTCTCTCTTCCTTGCTCGTTTCATCTAGCTTTCCATCTCTCACCTTCTTGTTCTCTGATCCCCTCCCCCTTCCACATGCAGGGAAACTTGTGCCCTGACACTAAGGCCCTTGTGGCAAAGGTTGGCCCCAGCCTGTGGTACTGACGGCAGGTAAGAGGAAGGCTCCGATGGGAGGAAGTTAGGTCGTCGGGAACTCACTGTGGAAGGCTCCACTGAACTCCACCGTTAGCTCTCATTATCTCAGCCAGGAACTTCTGTCATAAGTTCTGTGTCACCACAGGTCTAAAGAAAGAGGCTAAGCAGTCACGGATTGCAGTCTTGGAAACTGTGACCCAACATGAGCTTTCTCTCCTTCAAGTTGATTTACTTCAGGTGTTTTGCCACAACACAGGAAGCTAGCTAATGTTTCCGTGTTGGCAGTTAAATCACAGAAATCTGTGGGACCGTTAATCCTCCCGTGCAGGGATGGCACAGACCGACTTCTCAGCACTCTTACTTGGATCCGTGTTTCATTTCAGAGTGGATATTTCCTATCCAAATACCAGCCCTGACTGGCCACTATGCCACCTTCCTTATCCCAATTCTAAATAAAGGCCATGACCTGGCAAGGATATGCATCCTGGGACTGGCACCAATTTGTCCTTGTTAACTTACTAACATCCTAGCTTTACTAGAAAGGGAAGTCCCAGGAGTGTAGTTCAGTGGTATAGAATCTACCTACTGGACCCTGGGTTCCATCTCCAGAACTGAAAGAAAATAAATTAAAATAAAAACAGCAGAAAATCCAAATGGTATAGAATGGTTAGAGCTCTCTTGTGGCCTGGAGAGCTAAGAGCCAGAAGGATTTGCAGCAGTTCTTGATGAAGCTTTATATATCTGTGAACAAGGTTGCCGCCTCCTGGTTTCAAGAAGGCATCGGGGAGAGACACCTGAGCAGAGCTGGCCAGTCTTTAGGTCTGAGTAGGGAGAAGGCTTACTGGAATAGCAGCTTTTTTTTAATTGAATCCTTTTAATCTCTCTAGAGATAAGCCCTGGGGACATACTCCTCTTGTATAAGATCATGCCAGAATTGAGGCTTCCAGTAAAAGTTGAGAACCTCCTGGATTAACTTAGTCAACAGTTCTGGAAATCAACTGAACACTGCTTCCCAATAATAATGATAAATTTAAAAAGCCAATGCTGTATCCCATTCATTCCCTTATTTAGAGTTCATTGGAAAGCAGTTTAGACCAATGAATGAATGCAGCATAGGGCCGTTTGTGCTGTGAGTGTGAACAGGAGCCACATTGTTTATTCATGATTTGATTTCCATGGAAGTAACAATTCATATGTTTCCATTTGCATGATGTTCTGATTAGCGGGATAAACACTGTGAGATCCATCACTGTTTCGTCCCTTTATCCCACAGGTCCATGCTGGGTACTCTTACTTAACTTGTTGGTCACTTAGTAGCTATTTGGATTATGGAATTGGAGGTTTCGGTATCGGTCATAGAGCACTGTGTTGGAGAACCCTGAGATACTAACTGTGATGGTTTGTATATGCTTGGCCCAGGGAGTGGCACTGTTAGGAGGTGTGGTTTTGTTGGACTGTGTGTGTCATTGTGGGTGTGGGCCTTAATACCCTTGTCCTAGCTGCCTGGAAGTCAGTCTTCTGTTAGCTGAGGTGGAACTCTCAGCTCTCCCAGTCCCAAGTCTGCCTGGACACTGCCATGCTCCCGCCTTGATGATAATGGACTGAATCTCTGAACCTGTGAGCCAGCCCCAATTAAATGTCATCCTTGTAAGAGTTGCCTTGGTCATGGTGTCTGTTCACAGCACTGAAACCCTGACTGCGACAGTGAGCTAACACACATCGTCACCCGGCATCGTCCACCTCACCTCATCTTCCCCTTTAGACACTGCCTCACGTTACATCACCAGGAGAGTGGGGACAATTCAACAGGATATTTAGAGAGGAAAAGATGAGTCTATAAGAACCGTCTAGTATATTGTTATAATTGTGCTGTTTTGCCATAGTTATTGTTCTTAACCCCTCACTGTGCCTAACACTACATAAGTATGTTAAAGATGCATTTTTATCTGTATAAATATGTACGTATAGGGTATGACAGTATATTACATAGCTTGGTGCCATCCAAGGTTTTGAGTATCCAATCTGGGTTTGGAAGTTACCCTTCATAGACAAGGAAGAATGTCATTTATTTGTTTATTTTGTGTGTATGTGTGCCGTTCCATGTCTGCTTTTCCCCTTCAGAGTAGTTGGCCCATCGTGCACAGGGCTGTGCTGGAGGGAGGGGAGCTTCATTGGCTGGGGCTGGTGGGTGCAATGCAAGGCCTTGGCTGGCAGTGAGTGCTCAGGTAAAGAACACACAAACCGGGAAACAGCTTTGGAGAACTAGTTCAGTTTATTGGGGGCTGGGAAGGGGTTATTTATGCCCCCGGGGAGGTGGCCAGGGTCTCTGAGGCAAGGTTTGTATGACTATATGCAATTAACCAGAAGAATGGTGTTGGAAGATACTTCATCCGGATACTAAGGGGTTAGGGGATGCAGGGAAAACAACCTTATAAGGTCAAACAAGGAGTGAAGCTTGATAACCGTGAAGGTAGTAAATTCTTACTAGAGTTGATGGTGGGGAGCCAACGCCTGCCATCCTCAATTTTATCTAGGGTTGAAGCTCTCCTCAACGCCTCCCTCATTTATCCTGGGCCATTACAGTCCTACCTCACGTACGTGTGCTCGTGTGGGTGCATGTTTCTGTGGGTGATTGTAGGTGTATGTGGAGGTCAGAGTCCTGTCTCCTGGAAGGGAGGGGCCCTTAGAAGCGATGACATGTGGCACTAGAGGAGGTACTTGTCAGGTCGTAATTAAGGAACAGTGTCACAATCCAGCATGTAAAGAAGGGCCTGGGAATCCTCTTCAGGGCAGCCATAGATCCCTGGCCAGGAGGAAGAGGGAAGGTGTTGAACAGACAACTCCTAAACTAGGAGGAGGTTAAGCTGGTAGCTGGGGACCTGGTGGTGTGCTCAGGTCAAAAAGAGGAGTCCCAAAGAACACGTCAGATCCAGAAGGGGCTTTAAGAAGCTTGGTCTGGACTGTAGAGTCATTTGTAGCTGCTATACTCTGAAGACTGGGCAGATTTAGAATCCTTTCTGGAGAGGAGAGGTGAGCTTCCTTATAATCTAGAAGACTAAATTGTAGAACACTCCCCCACACAAAGTAGCCTGCTTCCTGGGCAATTGATGAAGGTGACCAGACTGTATCCCAGGCATCCCTCTGGGGAGGGCCTGCCTTCCAGAAGCAGATCCATTAAACTAGAGAAAAACCAGATGCAAAGGAAGGCAGGAGTCCTAGCTTGGGGTGGCTCAGTGTACTCTCCAGAACACAATGTGGACCACTGGCTCTGCCACAAGAGGTTCTGGTGAGGTAGGGATAAATGTCACATCCCTAGTGTATGTGTGGCTATTCACATCCCTAGGCTAGTGTGGGCTAGCCTACACTCCACTCAGCCCAGGGCAAGCTTGCAGGCAGCATGTAATGTGTACAACCCCCTCGGGGAGAACACCCACCTGGATCACAGCAGGATGCTGCTGTGGTTGATGTGAGAAGACACTTGTATCAGTGGTGAAAGTCGTGTAGACAAAGTGACATGTGGTTAGCACGCTATAACCACACAGTATCAAAGGTTAATTAGTTAAACGTGAAAGCAACAATGACTTCTACGAACATCAAGGAAGCTTGCTAATCCTTCCTCGAAGCTTTCTGATGACATCCAGAATCACACTAGGTCTGAGGCTAAAGCCTTATTCTTTCTCCTGTGCCCAAAGGCT